TTATGGCGCGTTCTCACTGAATTACTGAAGCACGTTTGATTTGTTAATTACCTTGGATTGACCCGAAAATGGATGTGCTCAAGGTAATAATGCTATTCTAGATAATTAAAAGTGTATAATTAATAAGGCTGATATTTGATTATACAATTTTAATGATTTTAGAAAATTAACATTTATTTAAAAAAAGGGAGAAAAAGGATTTGCCCGTTTTGCAGAGATTTTTAGCCACGGATTTGCTCGAATTGGATTTGCACCCTATAACAATAAAAGTCATTTTTTCTTATTTTTTTAAGATTCATTTCACATTTTCAAACATTCCTCAATAAATGCTAATTTTTGTTTAATATAATTATTTATTTATTTACGTTATCCTATCCTCTGGTTTATTGTTTTAATGTTATGATAGTCATCGAATTTTTGACAATATTTTTTATTCTAGTCCATTATTGACTATAATAAATTTAATAAGACTTATTTTTATTAAATTAATGCAAAGTTTGAAGGCGTAATATTTATTCCCGCAGTATTTTTATTTTTTATTTCAAATGCTATTTTTTTCGTTAATTTTTTTAAAGTTTTTTTTTTATTGTTTTAATTTTATGATAGTGATCGAATTTTCTGCAATTTTTATTGTAATACATTATCGACAATAATAGGGTTTAATAGGACTTATTTTTAGTAAATCAATGCAAAGTTTGAAGGTGTAATATTTATTTAGACGGTATTCTTACTTTTAATTTGGAATGCTAGTTTTTCATTTATTTTTTTAAAATAATCATTTATTTGTCTTAAAAAGACTTTATTCATAACCTTTAATATTTCTAAATGTTTCTTAATCCCTCAAAAATTGAAATTAATTCTTCTTCATACTTTGCTATCTTAAAAGCTTTTTATCACTCTCCACAGCCTTCAGTTACTTCCTGTAACTCCATATCAGAAACCTTTTTGTCTCACTATTTGGATCTTGTATTTAACAGCTTCATGACTCTATGCTCTATTTTATTTAATGTCTTGGCAACTATTCTACCATGCAGCTGCTATTGCAAACGAAAAACAAACCGTGAGAAACCTGATACGAAATCATCAGGTAAATCTAAAAATTTATCATGCGATAGTGAGGTTATCGAGCTCTCCTGTATACAAAAAGGATCCGGAATAGAAAGCGGATTTAGTGAAAGTTTTGTAGAAACTCAGAAAAATGATATCTTTAATGTTCACTCTCTTAAAGGTATGTGTATTTATTTAAAAATGTATTATTGCGGTAATTTACTTTTCATTCTTTTAAAAGTATATGCTTTTCTTTTTCGAAACCATTAAATTAGAATAATAGAAATAAATAATATAAAAACTAAAAATGTGCATTACGTTCTACTTTTTAAGTTTTGTTTCATTTCAGTTTTAATTTATAAAACAAATAGAAATAAGTGTTAAAATTCATAGCGATACAGAAAAATTTTGTTTCAGAGTTTATCCTTTTAACGGTCTTTCTTTTCAAAAAGTATTAAACTATAATAGTTTAATATAACTTATTTATTATTAATTTATAAAATATTCTTTTTAATTTATGAATCAATAAAAAAAAGGGATAAACACTATTGTATTTTTTATTCTTTTAAAGTTGCGTGCTTTTCTTTTCAGATAAGTTTTAAATTAGATTTTTTAGTAAAAATTAATATATTACGTTCTGGCTTTTAAGTTTTCTATTAAATCCTTCCTTTCTAATATTTTTACTAGTTCCCTCCTTTTATTTTTTAGATAATAAAATGTATCGAAATAATTTTTATAACATGGAGAGACAGAAAAATGATATTTTAGTTTTTATTCTTTTGAAGGTCTTCTCAAAAAGTACGAATAAACGATATCGAAAATCAGTATATTATGTCCTAGTTTTTAAGTTTTGATTTAAAATATTTGTTCCTTTTTTTAGTTAACTATAAACTTTATAAAAATAATTGATAAAACATAGAAAAGAACGCTCTAAACAGGGTTTTATGCCTTTCTCGTTTAAGAAAAGTATTTAATTTTACGAAGTAAAAATTTCTGTGTTACGTTTTAGTTTTTAATGTTTCGATTGAATTATTTATTCCTTTTTCTTTCAAATTATAAAATATATATAAATAATTTTCAAAACATGTAGAAACAGGAAACGATATTTTAGTTCCACCGCTCTTCTGACCAAACTATTGGGGCCCCAGAATGTAGCTACCCTCTATATTTTGACCGTCAGAAATTCGATTCCGTTGAAAAAAAGGTATGTTTATTCAGAGAAAGTACGATTTTGTGTCTGATTTCGTAACTTAAAATATCTTCTGTACTGATTAATTAGCATAGTTAAGAAAAGTCCCTCAAACCAAGATTAAGATTGAGTCCTAGAATGTGAAGATTTTCTATTAGATCAAAAGTTATTCAAATCGGTCCTTTTTTTTCCGCGTGCTGTGCATACTACGTTCCAGTTTTTGAGTTCTTATTTCTCTTCTTTTAAATTTTTGAAGCATATAAATTGAGAAAGAAACAAATGCTTTTCTAATGGGTTCATTTTCATGGAACCTGTGCCTCTGTTTTCAGTAGAAAATCTATCTTTATTAGAAAAAAATAGTAATAATGCGTGGTAATAAAATAAAATAATGCTTAAAATAAAATTAAAAATGAAGTATTCGAATAACTTTTGATTTAATTTTCGGATTTTTACAAATATCTAATAAATCTTATTGGTGTTAGTAAATTTGACGGACAATTATTTACATACACACATATTTCTCTTTACTCCGAATTGGAGCATAGGACTTCTATCATAGCTTTCCGTCTCACTCGAGTCCCGCAAGGACACGGTTCCGGTAGAACACCGAAATCAAGCATTATTGGCTGTGGTCAGTAAGCGGGTGGGTGACCACTTTGATTAGTCTGCGTTGTGACCGAGGGTGTGCGGTATCGGTCCTCGTTAAACTGTTCTACCATAAAGTGATCAACTTCTGCTCGCTTGCAGATTGTAGGGCTACCAAATCGGGGAGCTATCCCCTCTGCAGAGAATCAAAATTGTGATGGCATGTCTTTATGGCAATGATGGCAAAATTGTGATGGCAGACCGTCGCCAATAGCCCATTGTGCAGCTCTAGTGCAACGTACATGAAGTACCTACCTACCTACCATCTCACTCTATTTGTGGCCAGATATTTTGCCTCTCTCCATGTCTTTCCTATTGTTTTCAATTAACTTACAATCGTCCTGTGCCAAGTATTTTTTTAAGCCTTCCTCTTTTTCTATTGCTCTGTGGGTTATAATCAAAAACTTGTTTTACTTTAAATTTTTCAGATTGATGACCAATCTATTTCCATTTTTTAATTTCAATATCAATCTGTTTTGGTTTCTGTTTTGCTTTCCTAAGGATTTCAAATAAATAAATAAAATAGTCGAACCTCATTAACGCGAAATCACTTGCAGCTTCATGTAAAGCTTGAAATATCGCTTTACATGAAACACATGTTTTGTCCCGTGAGTCAGCTATCAAATATTGTTTTATTTTACAGGTTTAACATGAAATTTTCAAGCTGATTATCGCTTAACATGAAAGGAAACTGGAAAAAACATAGATAATAAGCACATGAATAAAATCCTAATAATTTATTTTGAGGAATGCTATTTCTATTTTCTTTCTTTGTTAGAAGTAGGATATGGGCAAATAAATTAAATAGTTAAATTAAAATAGTTTAAACTTTTAATCTTATTTTAATTTGTTTGGTTCATAATAGCATTGTTTGCATGCATCAATGTAGTACATAACGTGTATTAATAGTGCATAATAAATTATTTTCATAATGTATTGTATAAGACGAAATTCAGTTAACATGAAATATTTATGATAGTCCACCGATTTCGCGTTAACGAGGTTGGACTTAACTTGAATAACTATTGATCTAATTTTCGGATTTTCACAAATGTCAAGTAAATCTACATCGGTCTAAGAATAAACCTGACGGACAATTAATTAGCATGATAATTAATTCGTGTAGCATGAAATCGGATACAAAAACGCATTTTCTCTCTCTCTCTTAATCTCTCTCTAATGGGCAAATTCAGATTTCTGACCCAAAAAGTACTGAGATTGGTGAGTAGCTACACTCTGCAAAAATAAGGCCCTAAATATTCAGCAGAGCGATCATAAGTGCAATCACTTCAATATTAATTTTGCTGCCATATCTCGGAAACTTTTCAAACGAATCAAAGATTTTTTATTCCTAATTATAAAACTAGTTTATTCAAAGATTTGATGCAGAAAAATAAATTTTTATAATTTCTGCTTACATTTTATTATTCATAGAGTTTTATTTTATTAACAATTTTGAATTGTAAGGTTTGTTATTAATTTTAATAAAATATTAGTGTTTTGGGGTAAGAATTGGATGTTTTCATATAAATGTGATGTTTAATTCTCTGCATTAAGCTGCAAGTATATAGAACTCATAAAATAAGTTAGAATATAGAGAAAACATGGGAAATAATAAAAATTAATGTAAAGATAAGAGGAAAAATTATTAAAATAAAATATTTTTAAAATATTTACATTTTTTAAATTTATTTATTTAAAAAAAAACTCTTAAAAAGGCTGGAAATGATCATGTGAGCTGAATAAGAGAGTTTATCTTTTCTTTATTTTGTTGTCCAGCTTTTTAAAAAGTTTTTTTGAATGAATAAATAAATAAAAAATTAAATATTTTTAAAAAAATTTTATTTTAATAATTTTTTTTCTTCTCTTTTCATTAATTTTTATTATTTTCCATGTTTTCTCCATATTTTAACTTATATATATATATACACACACTTTTTCCATTAGGTGAATATATTGATGACCTCTTTTATTTCAAGGTCAACAGATTGTTTGCAAAGATAATTTTGTTTTTGTTGGAAAAATTGAAATTTTATTAGTACATTTTTCAGAAGAATAATTTTTATATTGTATCAGAATATTTACAAACTTATGAGGATAAAATAATTGTTCTTTGTAGATGAGAGTGGAAATTCTCTTCGTTCTTCACCACATGGAAGATTACGCATGCGGAATCGTTCATTGTCTGGTGGAAGTGAAGATGCCAAACATAGGAAAACATCTCTTCCTCAAATATCTGTTTCAGAATGTGCTGAGGTAAACCGAAAATAAATAGCTTTAAATGATTTAATATGGGTGGTCTTTTCTACACTACGGAGCGCTGCAAGCTCTTAACTGCCTATAATTCCGGGTTACTGTTTTTGGTTTGTTTTAAAGCCATTTGGCTCACAACACGATCACTGTGTTTTGAGACTCTCTTGAGTAGTATTTCTTGTATACGTGTATTTTTTAACTGATTTATTATTTGTGTTTAAACGAAGAATCATTTTAAGACTTGTTATTTGAAGAACTGTCATTTGAAAATAGAATCGTTATAACACACTTCTTACCTTGTTAACAATATACCAACTTCGAAATTTAAACCTACTTGGTAATTTTCAAAATGAACTTACTGTCGCTGCTTGAACAATATGCTAATACTAACGTATGATGGTGCAAGGCTTGCAACAAGAACAAACAGTAACAAACAAGTAAAAAAAAAAAAAATCAGAAGTGCCAAAAAGCGAGTTCTTTTAAAATCTAGCAACCATGTCACCTTTTTTAACAATATATCTCTAAATAACTAAAACAAATTTTCACTTCAAACTCACCAGAATTACTTAATACTATCATTAATATCTTATGAAATACAACAGATTTGAGCTCAGAAATTCTATGATTTATTTATTTTATTAAAAGCAAAATTATCTGTTTGATAATATTGCATCGCAGAATAAGCCGTAGTAAGCAATTGTATACATTCAAACCGGAAGTAAAGCAGGTCATGAGCTCGAGATTGTTTTTGTTTACATTTATACTGAAAACACCATCCATTACTAACTTTAAATTTTGAACTTATGTGTCTCTTTCTTAATTACAATTATTTCATTAACCTACAAAGTGACGTCCATGTTAGGGCCTATTTCCATATTCTTATTAACTTTAAAAAAATGCTTTATTTAAATAGTTGACTTACCTAATATGCAATATTTAAAAAGCTCACAAAGCATACAATGAATTTATTAACACTACTTATCAGATAAATATGTATTCTGTAATTTTTTTTCGGTGCAAATGACTTAAAACCAGTAGGTATTATTAAACTTCTTCAAATTATGCACTTGTTCAAATTAAGTATTGTAAAAAAAATTTGCTGATAAATATCTCTTCACTATATAGGCGCAGAATCGTTTTATTCAACGCTTTGTTTACTTTTGAAGAAAGTAAAAATGCCTTGATCAGAAGAGAATTGTTGCTTATTTTTATTTTTGTTAAATGGATGATCCATTTTGTAATATCGTTATTTTTAAATACATTGTTTCTATTAAAATTCATTTTTAGATTTGAAAAATATTCGTTTCTTTGAAATTTTCGCTATTTTGGATTTTGCAGAAATAGGATTTGACTGTAATATAACATGCTTATTATCACATGTTAGGAAGGTCATCTTAAAAAAAAATTTTTTTGAGGAAATATGTCTAGAAAATTATAATGGAATCTGTAAAGGACCCCCACTTCACTGTCTGAAAGGTTAATTTAGTATGAGTTTATATAATACTGACCCTTATGTGAAAAATTATATTTTTGTTAAAATATGTTTGGGGGTCAAATGTTGAATTATTACAATATTTTTATTATCTGAAGTATAATAATATCAATATTCATAACATTTTAATAACAAGTGTGGTCTATTATGGATCAGTGATCATCATTTGTGTTAATGGAAAAGCTTTACCAAGCAAGGGTTCATGAATGTGTATTTTTTTATTTAGTATTTTTAAAATTTATATTTTCATTAGTTTCATTGTAAGTATATATTTATTTCTTGCAATCAAATTTTTTTTTGATGGTTAAGAAATAAAAGATATGAAATTTAGTTCTAATTTTTAATTTTAGGTTTTGATAATGTAGAATTTATGAATTGCATTTTTAATAATGTTTTTCTTTTTCAAGTCCAACTCAAAAGTAGTTTATGACAGTGTCTCAAAGAAAAATTTTAAGTTTGTTAATTAATTGTCAATTCGCATTAAATAAATGCAATAGTAATACTAATTCTTTCTTTTATTTTATTTATTTACTTACTTTTAGACTTATATAATTTTAAATTTTGATAATTTTTTTACTAATTTGCTTAGCGAATCTTATTGAATTTCTTAAAATATAACTAGAAAGTTTTCAGACAATTTTGTTTCTTTCTAATTAAATAATTGGTCTGGAGACATTTCATGTCAATATTCAAAATACTTTTGAAAATTACAACTCTGACAATAATGAATTAAGCAAACAGTTTAAGCAACATGTTTAGTTAAATATAATACAGGGTAGTTCAAAATTAATAACAGCAATTACAAACACCTATAACTATTTAGTGAAAAATAATTTATCGATAAGATTAATATAGAATGAAGATGGAATTTCAAATTTTCTTTATGTAAGGCACAGTGAAGCGGAATCCTGCACATGCGTGAGTTCATTAGTAAAAATGGCGAGTCCCGTGCAGAAAGCATTCTGCGTGTTAGAATTTAACAATAGTCATTCTGTTATCACAGTGCAGAGAATATTTCGTCAGCCTTACAATCAAGAACCTCCAAATGGGAACAACATATGCAGATAATCATACAGAACTCAAAGAACACAATGTATGGTGTGATATGGACTACTGCCTAGATGTTGTCTGTTTGACCAAGGGAAGTCATATAGAAAATCTGTGACACATTTATAAGAAATGTTGAAGTTCCTTCTACATTCTGTGTAAATTTTATCAATAAATTCTTTTTCATTAAATAGTTATAGCTAATTGTAATCACTATATTAATTTTAAATTATCCTGTATAATTAATTTTTAATGAAAGAGTTGTCATGGTGATGAATACAAGTTCCATTGAATCATACACTTCTAAAATTACATGATAAAAAATTCTATTCATACAAGTTTGTTTACTTTTGAGCCATTTATATTATTCTAAACATGTACAAAAATATTTTTATAGAGCCAAGTCGGCCGACTGAGTGCTGCGAGTTCTGAGAAAGAAAGTTCAGGGGTGCAAGAAGATGAAATTGACCAAGCTTTTGCTTATCACTGTAGAAGTCAAATGTCTCTTTCCTCCTTTGGGGTAATTTTCCAGAATGAACTTATAAATAAATATATATGTGTATAAGGGACAGTAAAATAATAAGCCACATTTTCCAATTGTTCAAAATTTCCTTTTCGGCAATAATATGTTTCTATATACAGTCAAACCTCGTTAACGCGAAATCGGCGGGACTATCATAATTATATCATATTAACTGAATTTGTTTTTATCTGATGCATCATGAAAACAATTTATTTCATACTATTAATACTGTTGCAATACTTTAATGTATGAAAACAATTCTATTACGAACCAAACAAATTAAAATAAGTTATAAAGTTATAACTACTTTATTAAACTATTTTATTTTAACTATTTCATTTATTTGCCCCCTCTGCTACTTCTAACAAAGGAAGAAGTGAAAATGGCATTCCTCAAAATGAATGATTGGGATTTCATTCACTACAATAACTCAGTCAGGTATTAAGCATACTATACTAACATATCTAATTATTTATTAGGTCCGACGATAACTCAGAGTCACAAAATTCTCAATATAATAAAAATAAAAGTTCTCAAAAATCTCATGAGCGGACTGTAATAATTAAACACCACTTTATTAACACAAGTCAATTAGAGAAACGCTGTTTTCACACATCCGAGCTCTTCGGATTCATAAGATACACTAATTTTTCATAGATGGCGCTTCTGGCGTCAACATTTATTATCTAGGCTTATCCAGTTTCCTTTCATGTTAAACATGTAAAATGCAACAATAATTGATGACTGACTTACGGGACCAAAAATGTGCTTCATGTAAAACGATATTTTGCATTAAGCTGTTTCGCGTTAGTGAGGTTCAACTGTATTGTGTTGTTATCTAGTGGAAGTTCAGAGAACTTAAGTACTTATCTAGCAGCAATACTTTGGGTGACTTGATGTAAAACTGTCATTTCTGGGGAAAATGTGACTTATTACTATTGCCTTAAGTCTTTTATAAATATGGTTAAGAATGACAATTTTGATGAAATTACATATTTCCTTATATTTAAGAAAGAATAAATTATATCAAGTTTAATAATATACTTGATTTTAGTCCTTGTAAATTTTTATGTATAAAATTATTGCTGTAAATTTTAAAGTAGGCTCTTCAGCGATCAATAATTCATAACTTATCTCTATATATTTCATATGATAAGTGTTTAATGCCACAAGAAAATAATCCTTAGGGGAAATAATCCTTGAGAAATAATTCCATAGGGCCTGAACTCGATTTTGGTCATAAGTCACTAACAAATGAACAAAAAGAGTTACTATTCATTCTTATAAGGTACTAAAAACGCTATAAACACATGAGAAAAGTTAAAACTTGAAGCTGAATCTGTTTTTTGTTTATATTTTTATCATTGATCTTTATTTTTATTTTTCATTATTGGTGCACAATAGTATTTAATTTATATTTAACTTTATCACAATTTTTGAAAGAAATTCAATTGAAGACTTCAGCAAATTTTATTTTTTTTTTGAAAATGCAAGCACTTTTTAATTGATATTGTCAAACTTACTTCATTTTTGTCAAATTTTGAGCAAAAGCCATGGCGGTTCAGGGGGTAGAGCATTCCAATGAGGTGACCCAGGTTCCAATCCTAGCGATGGCTGGTCGATATGAATTCCACACCCGATATGAATTCCACAGTGCTGACATAAAATATCTTCAGTAGTAGGCAGATCATGAGTTAGAATCCACTTGCAGTCAGGCTAACTTTGGGAGGTTTTTGTGGTTTTTTCCTCTCCAAGTAATCCAAATGAGGGTAAATTCCGTAAAAAAGTCCTCCAGGAAAGCAAATTTCTCCCAACACTTGGTCCAGGAGTTCCCTTGTCTTCTAAATTGGGTTCTAAATTACAAGGCTACGGAGTTGAATATGGGTAGTCGTAAACCCTATATTGGGTCCGCTATTCAACTATTATAAAATAAAATAAATTTAAATAAAATTTTGAGCAAACCTGTTACATTGTATATAGACCAATATATTTTCAAGCTTACTGTCTAGAGGCCCAATAATATTCTTTTTTGAAATTAATATTGCTGATAATGCCTTGTTATAAAGAATACAAAATAGAGTTGGAAAATATTAGAAAAAAGTTGTTAATTTTTTTAAAGTAATCAAAATAACATTGCAATATATATATATATGAAATTCTATGATTTATTTANAAATACTTTTGTATTAATAAAAGCATTGAAACTTCTTCGTTTTCATAAAATGCAGATATTCTATTTTGGGACTTCAAGGCTGAAAACATGTATTATAATTAGATTTATGTTTCAAAAGAGGAGTTATTTTAAGATCTTTCACTTCCATATAAGGAAGGATTAAACGATTTTCTATGAGTATTAAATGATTTGCGATGAGGCGTAGGAATACAGGGAATGCAATATGACTGCCCTTTTACCCATTTTAATTATCGTATAAAACGGAAGAGCGATGGTTTTTGGGTGACTTTTGGTGTATCATACTGACCAGCTAAACTACGTCAGATTTGACGGGATATGTCTCTCCCCCCCTCCAGCTGGGGGAGGGGCTGAGACTTCTGCTTCACCATCGATTAGTAAGTAAAAGCTTGTGCATAATATGGCCTCATTACTCTTGATATTTTGACTAATAATCCCACAAAAATAACGAGGTTGTTGCCCTGTTATTTGATATATATATATCACAAATATTCCTGCAAATGTTAAGTATTATTTGACAAATTTATACTTTTTCATGAAGTCTAGTTAAAAAATTCTTGTTTTTAATAAAATATACAACTATAATATGCAATTTATGATTTGTAAGCAATGGTAATTTACTTTGAATGCATATTTTAATTAAAAAAAAGTTAAATAAAGAAGGTAAAGTATGTACACATGCTATGCATTCTTTTTTACATTTTGAGCTTAGAGATTTAAATTGTTCATAATTAAAAAGTCTACTTATTGCTATCATTTTTTCATCTATGAGCATTCTCATTGTAACAGGTTCTTGTTGTGTTGATGTAATAACTATTTTTATGATCAGTTAGTTTACGAAAGAAAAAAGTTATATCTTTCTGTAAGATACTTTCAATAATAACAAAGGTGTATGTTACTAATTTAAGGTAACAAAACGCTGTGTTTACGAAAACAAAACAAAATTTTTTATTGAATATGTTTGCATTTTTTTAATATTCTCACATTTTTTTGATACTAATATTATTGGCGATATTCTCTCATTTTGTTGGGGGGAGGGGGAATGCAGCAATTATTTCCTTCATTGCATTTTGCTAATCATCATCACAATAAGAAAATAGTGAAATATCATGAAATCTATAGCAGTAACTAATGAAAAACAGATCGACGATGAAATCACGCGAATCAGACTCTTGAGAAAGGGGTTGCACAAATGCGTGTTTCCTTTCAAGATTATATCGGGTTTTAAAAACTATGTTAAAATCGAAAGCATAATTGCTACAAAAAAGTGTATAGAATCATTGCCTTAAAAAGTAAATGATCTAATGCGCAATTCGAATTTCCCATATTGCCTGAAATTCAGTACCATGTTTACGCATGAGCGCACCTGGGCAGTGCCAGGGGACCCCAGGCACTCAAGGGGCCCTTGAGCATCTTACATTTTATAAATTGCGTTTAAAAAAGCTAAGAATAAAAGACATTGCTTTATATATTTTTTTAAATAAATATTTTCTATTATATAAGGTGTGCATTTTTTTTCTACAAATAGTGATTGATTAGTATGCAAACACTAATAATTTGAATTGTTTGTCAACAAGAAAACTTGAAAAGGGCAACCGAAATCTTATTTTTCTATGTTTCAATGAAAATTTCAGGTACTTGGGCATTTAAAGATGTTTTAATAACTGTCTAGTTTGACAAAATAATTCATACCTTTTTTTTTTAACCTTTCATACCTTTTTTTAACCATATTCATACCTTTTTTTTAACCTTTGAATTTATTTTAATTTGTTATACCCTTATGTTTATTTAATTTAATTTAATTATTTTAATTAACTTCCATGATTTTGTAAATTATTTTATTATTTGAGGATTACAACTGGTTAGAATATAAATTTTTTTTTAACATTATACATTGTTTAAAAATGTTTTTCTTAGTTTTTAGGATAATCAAAATGTGTTTAAATTTGTTATAATTATTGCATAACTTAATGCTTTATTTCATGTGTGTGAAAGCTTTTAGTTCGTTTTTAAACATTATTATATGTTGTAGGGATCTAAAATATTTTTGTGCCCGGGGGCCCTGCATGCTATTAAGACGACCCTGCTGAAATTTATTCGGGATATATAAAAGCAATGTGAAAATCAATGTCAATAACTACCAAAATGGATTTACAATATCGGCACTTCGATTGAGCACTTCAAAAAGTGATTATTTAAATGCATGATTTAAATTTTCCATGCAAATTTCTGCTGGAAAGCAAAGCAAATTTTTTTTCTTCCCAAACGAAAAATCTTTCTGCAAGAACTTTGTGAAGTTCTGTGACAATGTCATTCTGCCACAGGGTTTACATGTGTTAGACTATCAAATGTTTTATCAGAGTTATATAATATGTTGTTAATTGATATGATTCCTTTATGTTTATATTCTTCCAACCTTTGTTGTTGAATTGCTCGTTAATGTCTTAGAAAACTTATATGTAATTTTTGGAGAAAATTCTTGGAGCATTCTTCATCAAAGTAAAACTTCAAGATATTGTAACAAGGAAGGTTGAAAGCAAATGCTAACTTTTTTAAACTATATACATTGAAATGCTTAGGTGTTAAATTGAGGATTAAAACAATTTTTTATGAATTTTAAGTTAGTTATAAATAATTAAACATTTTTGAAGTTACTCAAATTGTAGGTTGAAAACAAATAAATCGATCTAACATTTCTTGTACATTTTGAAATTGAACAAATCACTGCATGCAGTGAAGGCATAGACCATACTGCCAACTCTACTGGTTACTACTCTCCCAGTTTCTCTTGGTCTACTGGCTTAATTAAAATTTTCCTGGTTTTTTGTTCCTTTTAGAAAATTCCCTAAAATTTAGTAATTTTCCTGAAAAAACCCCTGTTGAAATTGAATTCTTGTACACATTATTTCTTGCCTGCTAGAATATTTAAATATGTATTACTAATACATAATGAGGTGAACCTCATTTATAGAAATCAGTTCAAAACTTTATTCGTTCTGAAATGTTCAGTTTATTTTTATTCAGAACTCTCTTTTTAAATTAATTAAAAAAATCCTTTAACTATATTTGATCCTTTAACTATATTTGATAAATTAAATACCTATTAATATTCAAACTTATGAGTAAACATAATGCATAACTTTTCAAGTGTGTTTAATGTCAATCATAACTGGAAAATATTGCAGTTTTTCTATTTTGATGACTATTAAAATCCCTAAAATTCCCTATGTATAAAATATTTTGTATATTATACAACAATCATCAAATTTATGTTATTTCAAAAAATCTACTGGATTTTCTCCTATCCATGTTGGCAGCCATGGTAAATGGAATATTTTTCAAATTTTTCACATTGATAGAAAAAAGTTGAAAGTAGTTTTTCTAAAAGATAGTTAGTAGGACTAAAGCACTTTTTACATACAGCCATTAAAATCCATTAAAATTAAAACAGTTTTAAAAAGTTTTATATAAAAAAGTATTCACAAATTAAATCATATATACTGAAATTTCAATCGTGTAATACCAATTATTTAATTTTATATTTTTAGGGAAGATGTGAAAGTGTTACTAGTGTATATAGTGCTGCTGGAGGGGGCCGCTATGGTACTGTCACAGTGACTGGTGAAGTTTTATTTGGCCTCAGTTATAATTATAAGGCAAGTACCTTGGAAATAATAGTGAAAGAATGCCGAAATTTGGCTGCTGTTGACATTAAAAGAAATCGTTCTGATCCGTAAGTGTAAGAAACTGCAATTTGTTATAAATTTATTGAATGTTTGACTTTGTAAAAGTTTTGAGTTCCAGGTGTCTTGAAAGGGCAATTTCACGATTTATCTTGTATGGATGGTTGACTGTGTAAAGCTAAGCACAGATGGCGCTAGGGGTTCAAATTCGTCGTAGGACTCCCGGGTTACTACTTCCGACTGATTTTCATGCCTGAGCTTCAAAAAACGCACCATCCATTATTATTATACTTGTAATGTTTTCAATATAACACGTTCTTCCAATCTAACTTTCAATGAAGCGTACAACAAATAAATTCCTAAGACTTCACAAAGCTTGCTATTATGCTACCTAAAAAATAACAAATTGTGCTAATTTACACAAATAATATAGACATAGTCCCACACATGATAATGGAAAGGTTAACACTCAAAACATGGTTAACCTTTCACTTTATTTATGCTGTGATATTAATTTTGTTAAATTTGTCTTAGGCTCACGACCTGTTAGAATTTATAAATTACAGAAAACTCTTGTGGATGTTAAAATTATGCATAAATTTAAGCACACTAATAAAATTTCCTAGAATATTAAGCCTGTTCAAACATTGCTTTGTAAGCATAACATAAGTGGAGGGATACACCGGAAGTTTTCTAGATTTTTTCCAATTTTAGGAAGCTTGATTGTTTACATTCAGTCAACCATTCATGTTACATCTGCAAATTAATTAATATTTTAGCCACGAAATAATTTTGTGAACATATATGTTTGAAATACCTTTGTAACAATGGGTAATTTAAAGACCCTAAATTGTATTACAAATTATAATTTTTGATTGTCCCATACATGATAATGGAATTTCCTTTAAGATGTAGAATTTTTAACTACAAATTGCATCTAGTGCTAAGAATTGTTGGTAAAAAAATTTATAGTTATAGAGTTACAAATAGTATTAAATAACTTTATTGTTAACTTTTATATTAATTATGTAAACTTAAATATTGTACTATATGTATCTTTTTATCTTTTTGTACTTGTATTAAAACAAATCTGTAGCATCTTTGCCCTTGTATTCAAATGTCAGTCAGAAGTCAATTACTGAGAATTTTTCAAATCTATATGACAGCTTAAGGTATCCAACTGGTTTTGATGAATTTTTTTTAAAAGCTTATTCTAAGATTTGGTGACCAGGGGTCTTAAAATTATGAATTGAAAGTAAAAAGTATTTTTATAATAAAAGTATATATTAAAAGTATTATATAAAGTATTTTTCAAAATAGGGCAAATTTGAGCTTATAAACAGATTTTTCCGCTTTTGTCTCTCAAATTTCAGCCTTTTTTTTAATCAAAAACTTAAATTCTATAAAAGTTTCGTTTTTTTAAATAAATATTCCACTTTTTCTAGAAATTCAGTTGTTGAAATAAAATAATTATATTTATTTTCGATTTTCAAAGATAAACCGGAAATTCTATCTATATGGCTGCCAACCTTTCCTCATTTTTACTTATTTTCTCTGCTTATACACGCAGAAAATAAGATTTTCCATATTTTTGCCCGCCTGCCTGCCATATGGCTCATATTTTCGTAATTCAGACATCGCTGCTTCCTGTTTGCTGACATGAAAGCAAACAAAATAATAAAAAAAAGTGGCTGATTTGCTGTGAAAATATTATATATTTGCTCATTCAATTAGTCTAATTTCGATTTATTATGGCAAAATAAAAATAATACAAACAAGCCTCTTAGAAATCCTAAGCCCAGAATCTGCTAATATCATGATTCCTATTCACACGATTTTAATATCAATCATCGATTTTCGTATTTACCTGATTTAAAAGTTGCGTGTTGCAACTCTTATTCACTTGATTTAAATATCGTACATTGTGGTTCTTATTTACGAAATTTAAAAATCCAATAGCCCGATTTTTATTTATGCGTTTTTTAAACCCTATTCGAATTGTATTCACGCGAGTTTAAAATCCAATTTCGTGATTCGTTTAAGCAGTTGTAATATCAAACGTCAATTTTTGTGTTTATACATGATTTAAAGATTAGACATTGGGATTCGTATTCATGTGATTTAAAAATTATGCATTATGATTTGTATTTTTGAAATCCAATATCGAGTTTCATATTGATACAATTTTAAAATTAATCACATGGTTTAAAAGCTTAAAAATCGCACTTTTTTTTGTCAAATTTTTGGATATCATAGCTTCTACGTGTTATATATATATATATATATATATATATTTATTTATTTTTGGATTTCCTCTTTTTTACTCTCTGACTACTCTCATCCCTGTATAAACTACGAATTTTTCATGTCACGTTAACAGCTCTACAACAAATTGTAACATACAAATTTCAGAATAATTTTTTTAGATCAATAATGTGATTGATTGACCTGTGTTAAAACTAAAATCTTATAAACCATTTTGGAACAACAATGAAATAGATTAAATATATTGTTTTATGTCGATTTTTATCGAAAAATTCTAAATATTCTTACTTCTTACTCAGATTTTTAAAAACTCACAATTAGACCTTAGCTTTCAGTTCAAAACATTACTAACATTATGCAAAATCTAAATAATAAGTTTTAAAGAATTTTTTTGTAATGTGTGATAGCATAATTTTTTTTCTTCTTAAAATCAGCATTCTACAGAGAATGCATTCAAATTGCAAGAAAATTCTGACAACAGCAAAAAAAATATCTGAAAATGAATTTTATTTGTCTTGAAAATGTACTTTATTCAAATTAATAAAGGTTAAATTACTCAAAGCATAAAAAAAAAACATTTTAGTTTCGATTGGGAGTTAACTTTCAGTTTCATCTGTCAGCATAGGAAAGAACTACTACTATAACTTAATTTCTAAAAATTAGAGAAAAAACATTTAGAGGGTAAATATGGTGTTCGATATCAATTGATTTGATTTCTATGCTGGTTCGTTTGATAACAAATGAATAAAATAGCTATTGGACTGTATTGAAAATTTTATTATCATTGGTGCTGCGATCACGCTCGTGCTATAAGATCAACAGCCAAATTTCAACTGTTCTGGGGTTACAAGAATGGTGGGGAGGATGCCGAGGCAAAGATGCCAAATTGGCGCAATATTTCTTAGATATTGAACATATGGATAATTATAAAAAAATTTCAATTTTTGTCAAATTTTAAATTTTGACCCTGTCAGATACTTTTAATGTAAAAAGAAAAGGTTGCTAAATTTTTTACACTAGTTTCCTTCTTGGAATCTCATATAAATAATATGTAACTTTCAAACATTTCATGTTAAAGAAAATATTATTTATTATATTATTTTTTGAAATACGACTTGATTTATTTAAACATTGTAGAAACTAGTAATTTATTCCGCTTGTGTATTATGTTTATTTTGCTTTTGAGAATTTTGTAATAAATATTTATTTAATGATAAAATAGCAAATAAAAAAAATAATGAATAATATTCACACAAAAATAGAAATATGTATGAAGTAGTCAAAAATTTACTTTTTAAATACTGTGATTAGAAATAAAATTTAAGATTAGCAATAGGAAACTTAAACCTAAAACGTTACTAGCAATTATGTGAGTACCATTATATTAACTTTCTTATTTTAGAATACTCAGAATTCATATTAGATGTGTAAAAATATGAGAATATTTGTATTACTTGTTACTAATAATGCTATTTAGTAAATAGCTATGATAAATTCAAATTGTAGTTTACTTATTTTAGAATACTCAGAATTCCTATTTGATGTGTAAAGATGTTTGAATTATGGAATATTTGTATTACTTATTAATAATAATGCTATGATAAATTCAAATTAAAAGTCTGAATTCAACTATTAAATCAGATTTATTTAAATAGGATGTCTTTTGCTAAAGTCACCCAAGAATTTAGATTGTAATATAACATGATATGTTTGCTGAGTTGTCATATCCTTAATTATTTTTCACTGTCGTAATTTTTTTTTAATATTCTGCTTTCTATGTTTTCATTTAGCAACTTTTATCTTTTGAAATTATTATAATCGTCACTTTTTATCTATGTAAGTCAGCATTATGACTTACATAATTGTCTAATTTTTATGAAATGTATTTTTTAAAACTATATGTTTATTTATTTATTATTTTTCTTGTATTTTCAGTTATGTAAAAGTTTATTTACTACCTGATCGAACGAAAAGTGGTAAAAGAAAAACAAAAGTAAAGAAGCACACTTTAAGCCCAGTTTTTGATGAACGCCTCAAGGTAAATTATGCCTATAAATACTCATATGCATACTGTATTGTTTAAAAAATTTTATAAGCATGCTCTTCAGATAAAATTATAAGGTAAAATTCAAGTGATATTTTGCCCTTGTAATAATTTCAGACACTTTAGTAAATTTGAAAACATACCATTTGAAAACTTGAAACAATTAGCCTTCCAAATATTCATACCTATATTTATAAATAGCTAATATATAAATTATATTTATAAAATTGCAATTTTATAAATATCCTCCAAACTCATTAGTTACTCTATTCACGTTATATTTATAAAAGTGCAATTTTATAATTTTGAGAGAATTTATGTATCTGGTGTACTGTCTTTAAATATCCTCCAAACTCATTAGTTACTCTATTTAAGTTATACCCTTTGAATCATCTTAGTTAAAGAAATTCCAAGTATTAGATCAAAAGTTATTCAGAGTATTGTTTGTAGATCTTGTACACATATTCTTGGAATTTGCAGCAAAACTTATATTGTCTTGATAAATGTCTAAAAATCGTGAAATTTTATTTTTATACATTATATATATATATGCCGAAGAGCCGTTATATTATGACCACCCTCCATCTATAACAATGGGCTCGCCCAGGTTTTCATGGTTTCTCGCCCAGGAACAATGTTTTCATGGGGCACATTAGGATCCATAATCCTCGTAGAACAATCCCTGACGTCTGTAAGCTACTTGAACATAGTTGCAGACCAGGTTCACCCATTCATGCCAACAGTTTTTCCTGCGAGGGATGGTGTTTACCAACAGGATAATGCACCATGTCATAAGGGTCGAATCGTCGAGGAACATTTCAGTGACTTTCAAGCCATGTCTTGGCCCCCAATTTCACCTGACCTTAATCTAATAGAGCATTTGTGGTCCTACTTGGAAAACCAAATTCCCTGCTACCCCCTCGCAATGTGAGGGAATTTCAGGACCAGTTGGTGAGTGCTTGGTACCAGATACCTCAGACTATCTATCAGCACCTTCTGGAATCAATGCCATGGTGGGTGCTAGCAGTTTTGAAAGCTAAAGGTGGTCCTACAAGTTATTAGCAGGGTGGTCATAATGTAGTGGCTCTTCGGTGTGTATGTGCATACATACATATGCATGTATGTGCATGCATGTACATGTGCATGTATATACATACATATTATATATATATAATAAACTATACACAGTGATGGCTCAGTAGTTAAAGGTACTCAACTGCCTGTTTTAGGCACTGGACTGCAATCCTCAGAGCAGCCCTTTCTATTTCAGATGGATGGTTGATTCAATATAAGCAATAACAAGCTTCCTAAAACCGGAAGAAATTTAGAAAACTTCCGGTGTTTCCCCCGCTTATGCTATGCTTATGAGGTCAACAGGCTTAATGTTCTAGAACGTTTTATTATAGTTTTTTTTGTTTAAATTTACATGTAAATTTATCATTCATAAGAGTTTTCTTTAATTTCGAAATTCTAACTTGTTGTGAGCATAAAAAAATTTAAGAAAAAAATAATATCACAACATAAATTAAGGGTGAGGTGTGCCCATTTTGTGAGTGTTATTATTTGACTATATTTGACTTATTTGACTATATTTGTGTAAGATATCACCATTTGTTATTTTTTGGGTAGCAAGTTGCAGGTTACAGCATGTTTGCAGCGTCTACAAAATTTCATTTGTTGTTTAGTTCTGTCAAATTCAAATTTAAAAAATGTATTATATTGTAAACAATACAAGTATAATAATATTAGATGGCGAACTTTTTCAAGCTTAGGTCTAAAAATCAATCAGAATTAGTAACTCGGAAGCCTTACAAGGAATTTTAACCCCTAGCACCATTTGTGTTAGCTTTACATGATCAACCATCCATAAATGAGTGAAGACTAAGTTGGGAAATAAGTTGGTTTGTGTGCAATGCTGACCACGTTGTCACAATCAACATCATTGTCTACAAATTTGTGGAGCTTTAATTTGCATGATTCCCAGGAATATTTTACTTTTAATGACAAATGATTAGAAATAGCTAAAAAACGTTTTGGGTGGGGTTTTTAAAACTGATAGTTTTAATATCATTAAATTTTCAAAACAACAGTTAAAATTTTAAGCAATAAATTATTTGCGAATATAATTTTTAAATTATATCTTTAAATGAATAATTATTAAGCATCAATAGTAAGATTAAATCTTTAATTTAATAAAATGCACCACATAAAGATAATAGTAATGAAATTAAAACACTTTCATCTTAATTTTTCAGTCTAGGGATTTAAAATATCTTCTTCAGATAAATTTTCTCCTCGTAAGTGTATCCATGAAAGCTAAGCAAATTATCAGTATTTAAACATGGATTTTCTCAGATGTAATTTCAAAATTTATAACATCAAAAATAAGCTTTCATTATTTAAGTTGTCACAGACCATAAGTAATAAGACTCTTGTCATAAAAGCAAAGTACTTTGATGACATTTAACAAATTTTCTATTGGAAAAAATAGAGTTTGTTGAAAATTAGTGCCAACAGAAATAATCATAGAATTCTGTTTAACATCTTAATTTTTTTTTTCAATCATACAAGTCTAATTGCTGTTTTGGGCTGTTACTAAGAGTTGAAATGACTGTAATAACATTTACAAATTTGTTATTACAAATTTGAAATTTAAAAAATTCATCTGGAAAATATACGAAAATTGAGTGCTTTAATACTTTTCTTATATGCAGGAGTATTGTTTCTCAGTGTTTTCTGGTTTTGTTACAAAATTCATAGCAGATTTTTTTCAATTTTTATAAAATTTTCTGAGAATTTTCATCTTTCCTTCCTTCTCCCATTTTGTTAGAACATTTGTAGGGAAAGGATCTTTCAACAATGTCAGCATTCATCTATGAAAAAGTACTCCAACATAGAATCAAATTAACATGTCTTACATATTAGTGAATTGGAATTGTATTTTTGAAGTGGTAGACACACTACACATTTGAGGCAGAATATACAAGAATAATGAAATGAAGATCTTCAGATTCATTGCCACAGAACTTCGTTCTTTGCCAAAGAACAAAGTGATCATAGACACGCAAAGCAAGACATAGCTTTTTGAGCCCCTTCCTCAAAACACAGAAAGCCTTATTTTCATATTCTATAGAATTTTTAAAGACACTTTAATCAAATTTTTAGTTAAAAAGAATTCTCGGAAATTTTCTTTAAAAAAATTTCAAAAAGAAAAAGATTTTTTTAAAGGAATTTGGCTCAACCTTTAGGAGCCTGGGAAAATTGTCTTTTTCTCCCCTCCTCCTTCTCATCAAATCTCATTTGTGATCAATCAACGATATATTTCATTCTTTTTTAGATTCTTTCTGGGAGGTTTTTACACACAAACTATCCCCTTAGCTGTGCCACGAATTACAAATAACATCAAATCAAAAGTTTCTAATTTTTGTTTATTAAATGACATAATATCACTTTAAATTACTGGCCTATCTGAAGTGCAATTCTAAAGTTACTTAGTTTTTAAGTATTTTTTTTAGTAGTACTTAAAATATAATAGCCTTGTATCCAGGGTTGGCAAGGTTTAAGACAGAATGGATTAATCCACGGTTTAAACCTTCCTGTTCAAAACTCTTTTTCTTAAATTATGTCACAATTTTATCTGAGCAATATTTAAAAGGTAAAATAAACATAGAACTAATAACATATTGATAATTAAATCTACTAGAGAATTTTTGTTTTTAAAAGTATAATGTTTTATTAATATTGTTTGACTCTTCAATTTAAATATTAAACCAAGGAAGATTAATCAGTAATCAAGTTCAATTGGTCCTCTTATTCAATAATACATAACTGAAGTTTGACCTTGCCATACAGGTTAAGCTATTAGGGACTAAGTGCTTGGTTAGTCATAAACAGGTTTATTTATCTATAGTACTATTCAAGAATACTTTTATTTCATTCATGCTCAATTCTTTTAGCATAGTGGAGATACATCATCAGTGTCAGTAACTGAAACTGATGTTATGCCCTTAAAAACTGTTAATACATTCTTCAGTTATTTTGTATTTCCAATTTAAACTAATATATTTCTTTTTAAAAACAATTTTTTTTTAAAAAAAAAAGATGTCTTTTCCTGTGAAGCAGAAATTAGAAAATTTTTTTTAAAAAAATATTGTGAAAAATAAAAGGTTAATTTTTAAACAATTTTAGTATTTTTTTTAAAAAAATTATTATTATTTTTTAATATTGCATTATTTATCCTTATGCAAAAACATTATTTATCAGTATTAAAAGCATATTTATATTTAAAGGATTAAGTATTCACTTTTGTTTTTCAATGAATTGTGGTGCTTTTAAAATTATAATCCTTTTCCTATTATATTATATTATTTTCCTTTAATAAGTTAAAGTAAATTCGGTATCAATAAATATTTGATTTAAAAAAATAACAAATATTTATTGATACATGTAATTATTATGTGTACAATGGTTACACCTATAGAATTTTTACCTTTTACCAAAGTTCAAGGTTTTGGACACTTCAGGACAGTTTAAGACAGTAAAACCCACGTGTCCTGTCCAAAACCAGTTTAGGACGTCCAAAACCACAACCCTGCTTGTATCTATACAAAATGTTCATTTAACATCAATAATCATCTTTGATATTTGGATAATTATTGCAAAAACATATTCTATGAGAATTTTAAATTAGCATTAAAATAAATACAGTCGAATCCCAATTTAGCAAATTCCTAGGGACCAAAACAGTTGCTACGCAATAACGAAAATTCGTTATACCAATATTTCAAATTTAAACAATAATCAAAATAATTTTATTACATTGGAATTTTTCACATAAAAAAATAATAAATATTGCTTTTAATTACAGTTTTGATCTGTTTGTGGAAAATATCAAATCTAAAATCTAAATCTAAATTTTTAAAAGTTCACAAAAACAGTTCAATTAAAAGGAACAATGGATTTATTATCACTTACCTATCAGAAATTATGTAATCCATAATTGTTTTCTGTACAAATGATTTAGAACCAGTAGAATTAAATTAACATTCAAATAAATATTAGTGAAAGTTAAGAGTTAGTGATTCAAGGGATTAAATGTGAAGATAAGTTGATTTCTTTTTTAAACTTATAAGATTTATTATTTTCTTTTATTTCATAACTTAAATAAAAAAATTTCTTTCATTATAATACAGTATGGGACCCCTAATCCGGCAGGACCCGAAATGCGGCACTTAATCCGACCTAATATTATTATATATTTTTTTTAAGAAATTTTTATTGATAAGAGAAAAAAAATCAGTCACATTTTCTTTTTAGTTGGAATTTTTTTCTTTGAAGTAAGTAACTATATTTTATCTTTTAAAAATAAAAACATGAAGAGAAAAAATAATAACTCTGTGTCAATCAAAACATCTATTCCTAAAGCAGTTGAAATTGAAAAGTAAAAACATCTGCATTTCCAATGAACAAAATTAAAAAATGCAAGTTGTGAGAAACTGATCAATCTTGACAGCTGTGCAAGTGCTTTACTGGTTTGCCCCTGCATTTCCCTCTCCTGTTTGACCATAAATTAGCCACACCCTTTTGACATTGTAACTTCTTTCTCACTTGGTGTACAAAATGAATTCTATCCCTTTTGCTGCTTTTTTTTTAAATTCGATTTATTTATCTTTTTATTAGTTATTAACTGTTACTTTTTTTTTGTTACTTGTTTTTTTTTACAATCGTTATTGGTTGTTTGCTTCTTTTTTGTAATTATTCATTGTTAGTTTTTTAGCATTAATTGCTACTTTTTAGTAGTTCCTTGTTAGCTTTTTTTCTTCTTTTTTAGCGAGGTGAGCATCTTTTGTTAAAACAAAATGTTATGTAAAAGAAAAAACGAGAACAATCATCTCACGCCGATGAAGAAGCGATTTATTCTTTTTCGGAGGATCCGGATTATTTCATCTTGAATTATTTCTTCTTGATTATATCATATAGATTATTATTTTAATTAATGAAATTTCTAAAGATGGGGCAGTTTTAAATTCACCCCATCATAATCTACAATTGAAACTTAGCTAAATTTATTGGTTTTTCTGAAATTAACAGCGTAATATATGGGCGCCATATTGGAATTTCCGGAAGAGATTTGAAATTCGGCAAATTCCGAAATACGGAATTTCGTCGGTCCCGTGAGTGCTGGATTTTGGGTCCTATACTGTATATTACTTTATAAGTTTATTCTTTCATTATAAGTTTAATATAAAAAATTAAATTTATAAAGGTTTGCAAGGTTTCACACCATTTAAATAAAAATTTAAATTATTTTAAAACACTGTAGTACAAAATTATGTTGTTTTTATAATTTTTTTTTATTCATTTAGTTAATAAATGGAAATAAAGTAGAACACAAAACACAAACATGATACAGTTAAGTGATTCATACTTAAATTAATTCAAGAATAAAATCTATTCTATAAAAACCATATTGATAGGTTATCTTCACAAGATTTTGATTTTTTGTTTTCTATTATTTTTTAACATTTTATGAACTTTAAAATTAAAAAATATTACTTGAGACTTAGTTTAATTTGAAAATAAAATTTTATACTCTTTAATGCATGTTGGTGATTTATAAATAGGTTGGATTTTATTTAAATTTAATGATGAGTTAAATTAGTAAAGAGAAAAGAAAAAATGGTGCTGTCAGAAATAGGGTTGAATAGTTTGGGATAGATTTTCCAAATTCAATATTACTTTTCATAATTTTTTTAGTATAAAAATATTAGTTGCAAATCAAGAATTTATTTAAATTAATTATCATTAATTTAAAAAAGTACTAAATGTATAATTAACTTCAATAATTTACATAAAATACTATTTTACTTGGGGTTTTAGCCCTGAAATAAGTTTTATGATAACCTCCTAACACGAGAACCTCCTTTTTTGTGTTGGTAATAGATACAGTCAAACTTCATTAATGCAAAAAAGGCAGAACTATTATAATTATTTCCCTTTAACCGAATTTTGTTTTATCCGAAACATCGTGAAAAAAATTATTGTTGATGATATTGTGTCCATGGATGAGGGTGGTTCTCTAGATGCCATTAAAGGAGCGGTCAACTGCAGCTGTTATTACGTATTATTAATACACATTATATACTACATTAATGAATTCAAATAATACTATACTGCACGTAATAAATTAAAATAAGCTTTAAAGTTTTAACTACTTCATGGCTCTATTTTAGTTTCACTATTTTATTTATTTACCCATCTGCTACTTCTAACAAAGGAAGAAAATAGAAATAGCATTCCTTATAATGAATGATTTGGATTTTATTTACATTTTATTGGATTTTATTTATTGTCTGAGCTATGCCTAGTTTTCTTTAATGTTAAGCGATAATCAGCTTGAAAATTTCACGTTAAACATACAACAATAATTAATTGCTGACTCACGGACCAAACGCGTTTCATGTAAAGCAATATTTCACGTTAAGCCGTTTCACATTAATAAGGTTTGACTGTAAAACCTAATTGTGAAATGGTTAATGTTTGTGTAGAAATTTAAAATTGGTTTACATAAAACATTTTAATGTTGGGATTTTTCAGAGCCCTACATCTAAATTGAAGCTCAGTTTAATAATTTTTTCAAAATTGAACTAAATTATTAACTTAAAATGAGAGATGATAAAAATTTCTAGGTTTATCCTATAACACAACTCCTATTTAAAAATTACAATGTGTTTATTTCCTGCAACTTTTTCAACAAGTGTTATGATTGATACAGAGCTGCAATTTTGAACATAATATATTTTTTTTTCATTTTTGGTAAATTTAACAAAAAGGAAGGGATGAAAAGTAAAATTTATAAACACAGCAGTGTAAATAAAGAAAGGGTATATGCAATGATATATATAAATTAACCCATTAATGCTGGTTTCAAGGTCAGTTCTAAAAGCCTATCACTAGCTTACATAATTTTTTTCATATTCTTTAATAATTACTTTTCATTTGTTCTTCCCTATTAAATTTAATCAACTGCAGCACAAAATGTTTAATTAATTATACAGAAACATATACAGGGTGATTGGAAAATGCCTGGACAAAATTTAAAGGGGATTAAAGAGATGACTAAGTCTAAAATACATGAAAGTTGAAAGGTAAAAAAAAAGAGGCACATATTAAGGTAGTAAATCATATATTAAATTAACATATCACAACAAATGCTTAAAAAAGCGACTACCATAGGACAAAAACTTCCCATCGCCGCCTCAAGCAATGTAATCTCCAGCAGCAACAACAAAGAGATTAGAATTGGATTGCTTATTTTTCGAGCAGCCTGACTTAAAGAATTCCAAATAAACCAGTTTTGTTTGTCATGATGGCCACCATGATCACCGGGTCCACCACAGCCACTCTACTCGGTGCGTGGGGAATAATGTGCTCATATGTATTGGAAGAGAGGCAGATTAGGTACTGTGAAATTGTCCATACACAATGTTTGCTACTTTCATAGCTAGACTATTTTAGCATGTAGACTAGTATTAGCACTAGACTATTTTAGCGTGTAGACTATTTTAGCATGCATAAACACTAGACTATTTCAGCATGTAATAACATTTCTAAGTAATATGCAACATAATTATGTAAGTAGTATTTAATATAATTGCTATATATATTACAATCTAGAAGTATGCAATATAATTCCAGAATCTTGTATGCAGTTGAAAAATCAATACGTTTTCAACAATAAAAGTTGCAGGTCATTTTGGAAAATAAACTAAGAAAATAAAATTAAAACATTAATAAATTTATAATTTAAGAGTTTTTTTTTTCATTTTTAAATTACATTTATTTTTTCTTGCTATAATCATATTTTATTAATTTTTGGGGTTATGTATGAGGTACACAGGTATAATGAGAGTAAAAACCGTATAATTTTGTACCTTTTTTATTTTATAAATTTTTTTAAATTGAAAAAAAAATTAATACTGTTAAAATAGTTTAATGAAAAAATTTCTCTATTTGCCTTATTATTAATGATCTTGCATAACTTATTCTGCTTCTATACTGATTAGGTTGAATTCGTTGTTAGTAATATTTAAATGTCTCCTGAGAATATTATTTTAATAGGATTAATTTTAACATTATTATTCAGAGAAATGTTTGGTTCTGTGTTTTTAAGTTGACGCAAAATAAAGGTACATTCACTTAAAGGGTTAAAATGAATCAATAAATTGTTTAAACTCATCATTTTCATAACTTTTCTTTTTTGTAGTTTTCAATAATGCCTAGTGAAATGGAAATACGAACCTTGTGGCTCTCTGTGTGGCATAGTGACAGATTTGGCCGGAATGATTTTCTTGGTGAAGTAATGCTACCCTTAGGAAATGATACCTTTGAAAATAATGGCTTAAAATGGTATCCATTACAAGAAAGGGTAATTATAGATATTATATTAAATATTTTCTAAATATATTTTGTATTGATTAGCAAACTTCAAAAATATATTACTTAATTTGTTCTTTAACTACCATTGTTAAATGCACTGGGGTTTTAAAGCATTACAAATCAGGGCTCGAAAAAACTCAGAAATATTATCCTTCCCCGAGGATGGCTTGTCCAACAATGTACCCATCCTCCTTTGAAACTAACCCGTAGCTTCTAAATAAATAAAAATATAATTTTCTCTTATTTATTACAAACATTTATATAAATTGCACTATGAATTAGTAGTTACTAGGATTACAAATACTAGGATTACATTACACAGTAATAAAAGAAATACTAGGTTACTAATAGTAACCTAGTATTTCTTTTATGAAATAATTTAAATGATAAAGGTCAAATTATCTGGAATATCAATTTATCCGAGGATACTGCGTTTTTTAAATGAATCAAATATGGCGTTTGCCAGTTCCACAATCAAGTCAATGATTTACAGAGGTTTGTGCACAGAAATCTGAAATTTTTTTATATTTAGGTAGATGTTCATAATTGCGTTTAACGCTTATTGTTTAAGACCAGTACGTAATGTGTTTTTTTGTAAGTTCATTGCTGAAAAGCCCCTTTTAACTGCTGCAGTAGTCCCAGACAGAAAACATCAATTCCACCATGCGCAGTATGTTGCTGTATTGTGGGTCATTTTGCTAGATTTGAGGGTCATTTTAGAAGTGAGGCGCTAGACTCTTGTAAGATAACAAAAATTGAAAATGTATCACGAACATTAACGGGAAAATGGCCGTCCGCGCGGACGTCGGATTCCAGAAATTCGTTGTTCGCGGGGAATTTCTGAACGCCGAGGACGAGCGGACGGGCTGTTTTTCGAGCCCTGTTACAAATGCATTTAACAAAGTAGAATGTTAAAGACAAAACTGATGCTGCACAGAGTGCCATCAGTTGGATTTTAGAAATTATAATTATTACCATTTTGTGAAATACAACCACTTTAAGCACTGTGGGAAAACAAAACTTCTGAGTTGGTAAGTATGTATGATAATAAATGTATTTTAAAACTTTAATTATTTAAGTGAATGATTTTTAACAATTAATAAACAGTGTTTTTTAAGCCTTTTCACCAATAAAACTGAAAAGCTTCATTTGAATGCCTTAAACTATGGCTACTATCTTGCTGAAAAGAACTGACTGAACTTTAAAAAGAACAAATAATTTTAATATTTATAAATTCATTAAGCTTTTTTAAAATATATGATGATGGAAGGAAAAAGTTTTCATAAAAGAAAGTGTATTTTTTTTATAGTGCTCATAGCTGCAAACATGGATCGGAAAAATCCAGTGGACTTTACGAAACAATATAAATTTCATGATAATTGTTGCATAGTGTACTAAATATTTTACATATAGGGATTTTTATAGTCATCAAAATAGAAAAACTGCAATATTTTCCAGTTATGATTGACATTAAACATATACGTTATGTACCATCACTTGAAACGTTATGTATTATGTTTACTCATAATTTCAAATATTAACCCCTTAACTGCCAAATAAAATGTACGTGATTCACTCCCCAGTGCCACCGTTTTTCGTTCAAGTGCACTTTCTTAAGCGGTGTTTTGGTGGGGGAAAATGGTGCACCCGTTGCAATTTAAAAACAGTTTACTTTTACAAGACAAGAAAAAGGAAAGAAAGAAAATACAAAATTTAAATTAAATAATAAAAATACAATATAAAAGATGTTAAAACTTAGCTGTTGTATGATAAATCCTGATACATGGTTGGACACATAAACCAACATCACACTGATAGCGGGATTAACGACGAATTTTTTTTTTTGAACAAACGACACATTTTCGCGATGCATTTTTCTTTGAAGACGTTGATGGAAAGAATAAAAAGCACCAAATAGACAAGGGAAACGAAAGCGAAAAAGGAATAAACCCGACCTTACTCAAATAGAGACATCCAAGCAATTAATACGATATCACTTTCCCATAACATCCTTTCCCCATTCCCCCTCCTCCGAAATTAGTAATACATTTGCAAAGCAAACACTTTCAAGGTCATTTTACTGCATTCTGAAGTAGGGGGTAGTAACGCATCATCTGGCCGAAACGTATATATACGCCAGCGGCAGTTATGGGGTTAATAGCCATTCTTTAAAGATAAAAGATTTTTTTAATAAATTTAAAAAGAGAGTTCTGAATAAAAATAAACTGAACATTTAAGAATGAAAAAAGTTTTGAACTGATTTCTGTAAATGAGGTTTGCTTCATTATGTATTAGTAATACTTATTTAAATATTCTAGCAGGCAAGCAATAATTTGTACACAAATTCTATTTCAAAAATGTACAAAAACCAGGAGAACTTTAACTAAACCAGTTGACCAGGAGAAACTGGCAAAATCGAGTAGTCTACTGAAAAATTCAGTAGAGTTGGCAGCTATGAGTGTTGTATTTTCCCAAGGAGGAAAAAGAATAACCTTAAATTTTTGCACACTTACTTTTATGATCTCAAACAATGTAGTGTTTTTTAGATGGAAACATTAGATACTCCTGTCAGCTATAAAGGTGATTTAATTTTGGCCTTGAAATATGTTCCTCCTGATGTTACTAGTCGTAAATTTTCTAAGAAACCTGGCATACCTGTCAAAGGAGCTGTGGAAGTTTTGGTGAAAGAAGCAAGAAATTTGATGGCAACTAGGTCAAATGGAACGTCTGATCCATTTTGCAAAAGGTATGGTTTTGTTAAACAATACATAAAATAGAGTACAGTCAAATCCTGTTTTGGCAAATTTCTATGGACCAAAACAATCATTACACAATAAGAAAAATTCTTTATACCGATATTACGAATTTCAACATTAACTAAAATTATTTTGTTAGATGAGAATTTTTCGCATAAGAAAATAATGAATATTGCATTTAAGTACAGTTTTGATCTATTTGTACTCTACATGTAGAAAATATGAAATCAACGTTTTAAAAGGGGAGATTTTTAAAAGCTCTCAAAAACAATTAAATTAAAAGGAACAAGGGATTTATTATCACTTACCTATCAGAAATCTTTTATTCTGTAGTTTTTTCTGTACAAGATTTAGAACCAGTATAAATGCGCTGTGGTTTAGTCTTTTCAGGATGGTCCCTCTCTAGTAATTTCTTTTTTTTTGACCAGTTCTTTTCATATCTGAAACTTTTTATTTTGAAGATGCAAAAATATTTGATTTCTGAGATCATTGTGTACTTTTGAAGAATGGAAAAGTGTTTTGCTTATGAGAGAAAATTAGAATTGTTGCTTTTTTTCACCTTCATTTAATCGGATTACCAATTTCGTAATATCAGTATTTTTAATCCATTGTTTTAATGGAGATTTGGAAAATATTCATTACATTAAATTTATCGCTATTTCGGATTTCTTTAAAACTGGATTTGACTGTATTATGTTATAATCTACTATCCATCTGTTATAATCTAATTTATTAATCAATTGACTAATTAATACTTTTTGAAAATCTAAACTTTGAATAAACAATGTACAACCATTAAAACAAGAAAGTTACATAAGTAACAAAAGAACTTCTGCAAATTTATTTGCCATGGTCAAACTTTGTAGCTAATAAAGCACCCCTTGAAATATATTAATCAACTATTTGCCATGCATAACTAATATTGTAATTCAGCGTAATCTCTTTGAAATAATATAAAAAATTTTGTTTTAATTTTCATGTATGGCAGAAACTAGATTTGGTAAAGATATCATAAATAATGTAACCAACTAAATGTTTTTGGAAATAGATCGTCCAACATTTTTTTACAGTATTTGTTTGTGGCTATATTTGTTGCTACTAATTTTGTAATTCAAAGATATTTTTCCCGCAATAGTAAAACTGTTTAACCTAGTGCTCGAAAGCTCAAAGGAGTAAGGTAGAGATAGCCCGTCTATTGTTTGGGCTCTGAAACTTGTTCAAAGATGAACTAAGAAGAGGGTTTCCTTTTCCCCGAAAAATTCATAGCTGGTGGTCGCATTGTATAGGAATATTTCATCACATTTTGGCTATTGGTCACGAAATTGTACCAGTTTAAGCTTCATGATCCCCTGGCCCTCGACGGGCTATTGTGGGAACGCTTTACTTTAATAATTATTAATATTGCATGTATCTTTAATTTTTCTTTTTTTTTCAAAATTAATGAATTAAGTTTTTATACATGATTTCCTAACATATATACATACACTACAATTGGGGCCTGTCATATATATAACGTGTTAATAATTAATTTTAATCAATATATCAAGAATACTTATAACAATAAAAAAATTTAAATAACACGACGACTAAAGTAGCAATTTTTTATTATTTAAATATACGTACAGTCGGACCACGGTTTAACGACCCCCTATTTATTGAATTTCACGATTTAAGAAATAAAAAACCCCGAACTAACGAATTATTCTCGTAATCTAAAATTTTTTTCTTCATTTGGGTTAGAAAAACTATGGATTACTTTTCAAATTATTACAGTATCATCCTATGGGGAACATAAATCGAACTTTTTTGTATTCATCGATTTTAGACATGGCTGGTCTCAGCTCAGACATCACAGGTGTGTACAACGATTGAGTGTAACCTGTAAGAGCAAGAACCTCCTTTCTTATCTCTCCCATTCTACAATAACAAAGAAGTGAGGTGTACTAGATGCCTGTGAGAACAGGAAGTTCCTTTCTTATCTATCCCTTTCTACATTCCATAGAGTTAAGCTGTGTTGGATGTTTATTTTTGTTGAACATTTGAGTTTTGAAAGTTAGTGGAACATGATAGATTGTCAGAAACGAAAAGTTTTTCTTTGAGTGAAAAACTTAAATTTTTATTACGAGTATGACAAAAACGTTGGACCACAAAGCGCATTAGCAGAACGTCTCAAAAACTCTACAACAACTTTAGCTACAATTGTTAAACAATGAGCAGAAATTGAAAAAGCCTCTGTAGAATGTGGTGAAAAATCGTCAAAAGTTACAAAGACATTAAAAGCCATCCCTCTTTCTGTTCTTGAGTCTGATACAATGGAATCGTTCAACATCGTTCCCACCAACAATATAGCCATTAGTGGGCCTTTGATCAAAGAATAAGCTCTTTAACTAGCTGAAAAGCGCAACAAGACTTTTCTGCATCCAATGGTTGGATCCACCGTTTTAAAAAAAGATACGATACAGTCCGAAAGAAAGTCTGCAGAATAAAGGCAGATGTAAAAGCAAATGTAGTTAAAGATTGGAAAGAAGAGTTGCTCAACCTGATTGAAGACCACCATCAAACATTTACAACACAGATGAAATAGGGTTGTTTTATGACTTACAGCCTGACAAAACACTCTATTATAGAAATGAAAAATACTTTGGTTGAAAAAAAGTAAAATGAGGATCACGGTTTTGCTTGCTGATGGAACAGACAAGTTAAAGCCCTTTGTGATAAGAAGAGCAGCAAAGCCAAGATGTTTTAAAAATGTAAAGACTTTACCAACAAAGTAGTACGCAGCAAGCAAAAATCCTGGATGGCTTATTTTCTATTTACAGATTTTTTGAGGTCGTTATATAAGTCTACGAAGATACAAAAGAGAAAAATTCTTTTGTTTTTTGATCAATGTTCAATCTAAATTTTCAATCTAAAAAACGTCGAAATCTTTTTTTTTCTTTTTTCCTGCAAATTGCACAAGTGTGCTTCAGCCTCTTGACCTTGGTATCATTTGCTCCGAAAAAACTACAGAAAGTTGCTTATGTGGAAAATGGGGCAATAGATACAGAGCCAAGACAATCTTAGGACCAAATTTTGGAAAATATAATTGAAAAATGCTTTCAGAAAGCGGGATTTCCCAGGACAAAAGTGGAAAAGGACAAGTCCTCTTTTCATTTGATCCTTCAAAAAAAGTCATATGAAAAGAAATTGCTCCTAGAATCGATTTTATCAATTGCATGATGCGATGACAGACTATCTGTCTCTATACAACTGAAGTTAATGAAGCAAAGTCATCGGAAACAATGACGAGCGACTCTGACACGGAAGTCGATGATAATGGATCTTCAATGAAAACTGGTACTTTTTCCGATGCTTTGCACGGTTTGGAAACAGTGAAAATTTACCTAATGCAGCAAGATGTTAATGGCGAAGTATTCTCTTCATGATGTTGAAAAAGAACTTTTTAAAGTAAGAAATCAAGGAAATAAACGAACTTTACTCATGAAATACTTTAAAATTTGAAATTAATCAATGTGTAATCATTTGCTGTATTTTAAGTTCCTGATAAAAAAAATGTAAGATTTCTATTTATTTTGTGTATTTACTTATTAGAGATGTTTGGATATTCTATAAGGAAAGTCAATTTTTTTATTATTTTGCCCCGATATTACGAGTTATCCACAATTTAGCGAATAATATTTTCGGTCCCTATGAATTTGTTAAATTGAGGTCTGACTGTATATATATGTATATCCATCCTTACACGGGTATACAATTAATTTTTTATTCAACACTTCTTCATGGCTTTAGTGTTATTCTCTGATGTTTATTATATTATCTGATAGTTTTCTCTGATTATTTTTCTGATAAAAACAAAATATTTTGTTTTATTTTTAAAACAAATATTAATATTGATACATGCTGTACAATTTGGTGTTCTAGTTTACCTCTTATGCAATAATTATTTATTTTAACCAATGCATACGAATAAAATTTTAGTGAGTTACCATAAAATGATAAAAGTATTTAAACTAAAATAACAAATTATAGTTTTGTTACTTGTCTCTTTATTTAAATTAGTATTACAAAATTCCATATAAAAATATATTATGTACCTGTTGTTTGACATTTTGATAGTTCTCGACTAAATTAACATTTAATATAAAAAAACTTATTGATAATCAAAAAAAAAAGAAATATTTCTTTTTCATGTTCAAAAATGAAAATAAAATATATATAATGATAATAAATAGCCACTCCTTTGACAACCTATTTTTAAGGAAACTCAGTCATGTAAATTTTTTTTAATCAGTTAATATTTTTCCTGAATAATAAATGTACAGTAATAAATATAAAATTTCCTAAACAAATATGAATATCCAAACAATTGTTCCTATGTTATAAAATGATTTTCTAAGTTATAAAAATCAAATATTTTTCTGCTTAAAAAATTTATTAAACGATGATTTTCTTTTTGATCCAAAAATATATTCATTATAAAGTACAAATTAAAATATCTAATTAAATTCGTTTGAAATTATTAAAAAAGTTAATTTCAAAGTATCAATATGAATAACAGAGCGAAAATAAAAAGCGATATTGAAGCAAAGTAATGCGCCAAATCCGACGCACGTACTTCATCAAAAAAGCAGTAAAAATACAGGAAATTTTATATCAATATGAAATTTAATTATTATGAAAATACCTATATATGTTAACAACATAATAATCTATCAATTTAAATAAACATATAAAAAAATAGTAGCTATTTTACAAGTTAAAAACCAATTAAATTCATTCTATAATATGCTAACATATAAATTGCAAATAAGTGTTTAAAAACGAATATAAAAAAATAAAAATCTTATTTGTGAAAAGTAAAAGGTCCTCATTTTATAAATTTTACTTTACAACCATATACGCAGCAGAATGCGGCTATTTTTAATTGAATTTTATAGTTCAAAAAACAGCCCAGCAATCAACCCCATAGTAAAAGACTAGGGATATGGTTTACTTGAGGGAAAATCGTCCCGGAATCATGTGACGTTTTTTGCAATGAGAGAAGCCAGACTGCTTCTCTCTATCTAAATCACTCCTCTAAGGTCGAAAGTGTCCCGCAGTGGACTGATCGTTAAGACATGGTTCCCAGCAGATCACCGAAGTCAAGCATCACTGGCTACGGTCAGTGTGCGGGTGGGTGACCACTTGGATCAGTCTGCGTAGGGACCGAGGGTGTGCGGTATTGGTCCTCGTTAAACTGTGCTACCGTAAAGTGCTCGACTTCGCGAGCAGGTTGTCGGGCTACCGAAGCGGCCATCCCCTCCGCAGAGGATCAAAATTGTGATGGCATGTCTTCGGATCATCCTCTGGGATGTTTCCCAGACCGTCGCCAATAGGCCATTGTGCAGCTCTAGTGCAACGTAAATTAACAACAACAACTAAGGTCGAAAGTAGTGCACTACAAGTTGTAAAATTACTGTAGTTGCCACTTTTTTTATAGTTTGTAATGTAGCGTGCTACTTTTTTTTTAAAAGTAGAGTAATGAGCAGTGTGATACAAAGAAAAACAATAGTTAGTAGCAATTCTTGACAACTTTTACCAATGAATACAATGAAAACAACCCTGTAAACTGCATCTGAGCGTTAACAGAAATTGCTTATTTAAAATCACGTTTAACTAATATACTAACTGGCCATTAAGAAAAACAACTACTAATTAATCACTTTGCTCACACTTTCACATGTGAATGCACACTCTTTTAAAGAAAGAGAACGTATTTTTGATGTACTTAATTCTTAGAGCAGTGCCGTCCTTACGCATGGACACACCCGGGGGCCCCAGGCACTCAAGGTGGCCCTTGATAATCTTACTTTTTATAAATTCCATTAAAAAAAGCTAAGAATAAATAACATTGCCTTATATATTTTTAAAAATAAATAAGTTCTGTTATATAAAGTATGCATTTTTTTTCCTGCAAATAGTGATTGATTACCATGCTAACACCAATAGTTTGAATTGTTTATCACCAAGAAAACTTAAAAAGGCAACCAAATCTATTTTTCTACTTTCTAATGAAAGATGTTTTAATAACTGTTCACTCGGCAAATTAATTTGACAAAATAATTCATAACTTTTGAATTTTTATTTTATTTGTTATACCTTTATGTTTATTTAATTTAATTAACTTCCATGGTTTTGAAAATTATTTTATTATTCAAGGCTTATAACTGGTTAGCATAATTTTTTTTTTTAAAATTATGCACTGTTTAAACATATTTTGAGTTTTTGGTGTAATAAAAATGTGTTTAAATTATTGTATATCTTAAAAATGATTTATTTTATGTATGCGAAGTTTTTTAGCTCATTTTTAAATATTATGGCATGTTATAGGGATCTTAAATATTTTTGTACCGGGGCGGGGGGCTCTGCTTTAGAGAAAAGAAAATAGCATTAAACAATTAAAAAGTTGCATTTGATAATTTTGCATTTTATAAATTAAATATTCGCTACTGAAAAAGCATAAAAAGTTGAAGGTTAAATTAAAAATTAAAAAAAAATATTTTGGAATAACAAACTGGCTCATGTAAACATGAATAAATAGTTTTTTTTTTTGTATTATTATTCCCTTTCATTTAATGTAAGCCAATTTCTTATTCAAAACCATTTTGAACATAAGTGTCAATTAAGTTCTCCTGTAAAGTTTGTCTTCTTAAATTAGTTACTCCAATTCCAAAGAAGTCTGTAGTCACTACATTTTAAAAAAGTAGTTTTAGTTAATTACATTTGTAACTAAGTAGTTGTAGTAAACTACAAAGTAATGTATTTTTTCCGACCACTGGTTTAACCTCAAAGATAATTACGCTTGCAAAACTTCCAATTCATTTAGTTTTAAAAATTTTGAATGTTTTAATCTCAAATTTCATATTTATAAATGTTATAATTGTTATCATAAAAATAAATTTTAGCATAGGTACTCCCAGAGAATGCAGATTAAATTTGAGATCTTTGTTTTCAACTTCATATTTTTTTTCCAGTTATCTTCTACCTGATAAGACCAAATCAGGAAAGCAAAAGACTCCTGTTTTGAAAAAATCATGCAATCCAAAATGGAATCATACTTTTGTATATGATGATGTTACACTGGATGATTTAAGAGAACGTTGCTTAGAACTAACCATTTGGGACTATGATAAAATTACTAGCAATGATTTTCTTGGTGGTGTCAGACTATGTCTTGGGACAGGTAATACAATTTATAAAGTTTTTCTTTTATGATATATGTAGGCACAGAAACTTTTTTATTGTATGTAACAATCTTAGATCAAATACTCATTGAAATATGACATCAGGTGGGGTATATAGTGGTTTTACATTCACTGTCAGTTTTTAAAACTTATGAATTAAGTTTAACGAACAAAAGTAAATTAACATTGACGAACCGCTTCTTTGTTTATTGAGACAACAGTTACATAATGTAATACATCATTAAACGTCTATATTTTGTTTCATCATTTTAAATTAATAAATTTTCACGTATTTATCTAGATGACTCAATGTATAACAGCTTATCTTTATTACGAATTCATGCAACTAATTCTATTGAATAATAGAGAAGAAATAATACATTAAGAAACCATAATTAGAATGTTTGGGGAAAGCATACTGATAAGATTCTTACTTACAAGTTTGCTAAGGTTCGCAACAATACTGGAATATAAAAGCTGTTTTAAGCTTCTTTTAAAAATGTAGCTCAATAACTAAAACATGCCATTTTGCTACATTTATGCATATATTTTTGTGAAATTCATACCATAATTTTCCAAATAAATTACATAAGTTAGCATTACAAATTTAATTTGGTCCTATGTGGAATGATCTATGAAACTGCATTCACTTAATTTCGAAATAAAATATTAATGGTGTCATTAAAATTTTAGTATTAACTTTCTTTCTAACTATAACAGAGTAGTGAAAAACTAAGATGTCTTGATTTTTAATAAAATATATATTTTTGAACAGTTATTATTTGAAGAAATATAAATGTTTAATTATTCCTTATACAGGGCTGCCTCTAAAATCTGAGGGAAAAAAATCCTGTGTGTTTCCCCTGTTCCGTACATATAATACACAATATATTAAGAGGAAACACACAATCATTGTGCTCTTGAGTGACCTATATTAGTCTAGCTATACTGGTTTTAATTGCTGGAAAAACTTAAAGAAATAAGGAACAGCTTAACATACTTAAAACAAATAATGCTATAGTAAATGAAATAGTTTAGTATAGGTGAAATATTATGCTTGAATATCCCATAGATTACGCTTCAGTGGTCACTATTTTTTAAGAAACGAAAGTAAGAAACAGAATTACCTGTATTTTCTCAGTTTGTAAAGAAAAAATCAAAATTCCTTCTTATTTTAGGTGATTTTTAAATTCCTGGTATTTTCCAGGTTTTCCCTATTCTCCCTGTGGCGACCCTGTTATAAGGAATTGTAAATGTTCAATTTTGTGGATTCTATGATTATGCATGTAATACTAAAAATTATCAATATATTAAATTTTTTTTCCAGGAAAATATCAAGGTAGAGATGTTGATTGGATGGATTCAGTGGGTGAAGAGAGATCACTTTGGTATACTATGTTAGAAAGACCAAACACTTGGGTTGAAGGCTCCCTTCTTTTAAGACCAAACATGCAAAATAGGAAGTCTCTGTAAAAAAAATTTCTGTTATTTGTATAAAAAAAGAACCTCCATTCCTGAAATATTTGTTATGTTAATGTTGTCACTTGTAAATAAATTTTTTGTTAAATATTTATCACATGATGTTAATTTGAAACTCTTTGATAAATATATATTTTTATGTTGCCATAACAATCATTAAATTGATAAAGCATGGTCCATAATGATACTTGTCTAACTGAATATGTGATCTGAACCATTGCTTCTTTGTGATAATAGATAACTTTTGCACAAGAATGAATTTAATTTCACACAACACTAATGATATGTGGTTGACTTCCTAATAAAAACATTTCCTAATTTTGTATAATGTTCGACTGATATTCAAATGTAACAATTTAATATATATATACAGTGGGACCTCTATTTAACGAAGTCGCTAAATCGATAATAAGTGCGTTATATGGAAAATTCGTTAAGTAGAAAATCACCTTTTGAAATACTTAAACAACACAAAACAGGTTTTCAATTCATAAATATTAGACATAATTAAAATAGAAATTGATACACCTTTATCTTGTAAACTAGTATCTACTATTTATTTTATAAATCTTAACCATATAAAAGAAATCTGCATGGAAAGCAAGAATAGAGCAAAACATTATCAAGCGTTACACTATCATGCTACATTTCAACTGAAAAAAAGGTAAATTTATGTATAAAATTATAGCTGTATTTATTATAAAAGTAATTTCAAACATACATTACCACATACGTTCTTAAGTTTAATTGCTACTGATAAAATCCATTAATTTTGTTTTTAATGTAATTCGTTTGAAACGCAAACAAAAAGTGAAAGGGAATTTACTGCTTTCTCTTAAAGTTAAGTGGCTTCGAAAATCAATTCAAGGTCATTTCCCCATAAAATGAGTTAACAAGTTTGAAATGTTCTGAAATATTTTGGGAAATAGGGAAACTGGATCTCAAAGAAAAGTTCGTTAAATAGAAATTTTACTTCGCTATTTGGAAGTTATTGAAAGAAGAAATTTCCCAAATGTTCTTGGTTCCTCGAAAAAATCGCAAAATAGAGAAATTCGCAAAATAGAAGTTCGTTAAATAGAAGTCCAACATATTTTGTTGCGTATCTATGGAGATGAGAGTTGAATGAAAACTTTTAACTAGTCTATTTATTTTGAGACAGTGTGAGATCAAATTTTTTTGTGATTTCTTGTCTGTTTAACCAAAATTTTTTGATGAAATCATGTACACCTTAATATAAGGTATTTCATGCCTTTATAAACCACCTTAAAAATCAAATCTACTGAAAAACTCAAAATAAAATTATCTTCATCCTCTGCTCAACGACTTTTGTCTCTTTCATTTTCATTTAAAAACTAATACTTTTTCATATTTATGTACTTGCACGGTTGTTTTATTTTTTTCATTAGCCACTTTAAATTTCTAAAATGTGCTTTTATGTCCCAGGCAATAATTGTGATTACTTTTGCAAAAATGATGTCATTGTTTCAAAATAATAGTACTATATTTATTAATCGTTTATCGCTCAATAAAAAAATTACTAATGGTAGTTTTTTTCCATGCTATTTAATTTACTTTTAAGGGTGCATACAAAAAATAAGTACTTTTTAAGCACTCACTTGAAAAATATTTTTAAGCACTATATATATTAACAAAATGCAAAATAATTTTCAAAGACTTTGCATGATCATGATTAAAATAACTAGTTTCTGACAAAAAATTGTTTTCTGGATTGTATTATCCACCATAGATCGAGACATTTTTCAGTTAAATTTCAGAGGGTGAAAAATGAAGCCTGAAATTGAGAATATTTTGCAAAATGCAACAGAGTTGCACATGAGAGTGCAAGAATCTCACTGAATCCAGTTCAGAGGGTTCATTCTAGGCAGGGTTCGCAATTTGAATAAAACATTCCATCCCTCATGCCCTATGAATCTGAACATGCGCCCGACATTTTAAAGGGCTCCGATTTTGTGGTAAATCCACGTGATTTTCTGATAGTTTTTTCGGTTGAAATAATTACAGTTTCTGCCGTAATTAATCATTTTTTTCCCCGACCATTTCCCTATGGTTTTTCAAATTCAGATACATTTAATACGTTATTACAACATGCGTATTTTGAACTTGAGATATTACTTTCTTGAAGCGTTCGATTCATGACGATTCCATCGTAATTTCACGTCGTTTGATAATTATTTCGGAAGCTATTTATCATTTTTCACATGGTTTTTTAACACGTTGAATGCCACGCTATTTGTACATGTCTTGCCCGTCTGGCCAAACAGTAAATAACTACAAACTAAATTTGTAAATATTAGACAGATTTTGCTAGTTTTTAAAAATATTTAGCATGATATATCTGAAAAAAGTGGTGAATTATAAGAAGCCTACGAATTGTTTAGAAATAGTAGTGGATAAAAATCTACTAAATTGAATTTATTCAACCAAGAATCACAATTAATAAACCACCAGTTGAAGATATTTATTCGCTGTCCGGAGCAGGTTGGCATATCTGTGTATATAAATAAAACTATTTTTGTGTGTTCTATATTGCATTAATTTCTTCAAGCCATTTTAGTAACGATAATAATACTTAAAAAAAATTAAAAATTTACTCGAATTATGTATTTGCCGATGCCGATCACCGGTGACCCATGGCATTCAACGTGCCAAATTCGATATTCTTAATACGAGGCTGTTACATCTTTTGAAATTCGAATTGGATTATCTCTATTAGATACGTTCGATTCGTGACGATTCTATCGTTATTTCACTGCGTTTGATAATGGTTTTTTTTTCGAAAATTATTTATCATTTCTCGGCCCTTTTATAAGGTTTTTTAAATTCATATATGTTTAATACGATGTTATCACGACGTTCGAAATTCGTATTTAAGTTATCACTACTTCTCGACGTTTTGAGATAGGTTTTCATGGGTTATTTTTCATTTTATTACCGGCCTTTTTTTCAAATTCAATATTTTTAATACGATACGATGTTCGAATTTGAGTTATCACTATTTAATGCGCTCAACTCGTGACGATTCCATCATAATATCACGTAGTTTGATGATGGTGTTTTCGGAAGGCATTTTTTCACAGAGATTTTCAAATTCTATATTTTTAATACGTTTTTACGACGGGCAAATTTTGAACTTGCATTATCACTATTTGATACGTTCGATTCATAATGATTCTATTGCAATTTCATAGCGTTTAATGATGGTTTTTATGGAGGTTATTAATCATTTTTTCGGCCCTTTTACATGGTTTTTCAAATACCGATATGATTAATACGATGTTCGAAAGTGAGTTATCGCTATTTGATGCGTTCGATTCGTGATGATTCTATCATAATTCCACGCCATTTTTGATAGGTATTTTTGGCAGTTATTTATAATTTTATTGGCCTTTTGCATGTTTTTTATATTTTTATAAGATATAAAATGGCGTTTAAATTTCAAATTTGAGTTATCACTTTTTAAGGTGTTCAATTATCGACGTTTCCATCACAATTGATGTCGTTTCCAGCAATTTCTACTTATTTTTTCTTATAATTTTTGTACGATGTTATTACAAGCGGGTTTTTCGATTTAAGGAGTCCTTTTAACATTCTTAATTTAGATCGATTCCACCGTAAATCCAAATCGATCATTTATGGATTATTTCCTCGTGGATTTTCGGATTTCGATGTAATTAATACGTCAATGGCTAACGAATTTTATATTTTAGTAATCACTTTTTTACGAGCTTGATTCCATCTTAAGTCCACATTAATTTTCGATCGTTTTTTCATTCACTTTGACATTGTTTTTTAAAATCCCGATATATTTAATATGTTATTATTAGGACATGCAACATTTTCGAAAATCGAGAATTTCGCTTATTTTAAAACTAATGTATAGAATGCGCGAATTTAACAGAGAAATTATTTTTAACGAAAAAATTTTAAACTTTGTATATTTTGGGTGTCTTAAAATTATGAAAATATTTGTGAACAAAGCCCTTTTTTGTGATAGGTGTAGCGTATCTACCACTACAAAAATACAATTCCAATTCACTAGTATATAAGACATATTAAATCGATTCTATATCGGAGTACCTTTTCATAGAAGAGAATGACATAGTCGATAACGACTCTTCCCACATTTGTGACTCGGACGTGATGTGAACATGCCTCCTTTGACAGAAACTTCCACTTCGATATGAATACGCCTATCTTTACAGTAACGCCCACTTCGATGGATGGTCCATATTGAATAGTTAACTTGCTACTTGTGACTACGACATTATCCAACTCTTCGCACCGTTGCTACCCAGTCTCGATCACACACAACGTCGGTATTTATGCACTCGACTGCTTAGGGTAACACAGGAATGACCACTACCGTGAACTTAATACAGCTCTCCCGGCTTCGCACAAAAACAGCCAGGAATCAACTAGTGATATCGATTTCTATCATAGATATAATTTTGGTGGGGGAGTATTGTTGTGTATCTACCTTTTCATAGATGAAGATTGACATAGTCGATAACTTCTATCCCTACTTAAAATTTACGAGTTTAGCTAGGTAAAATGCAGAGATGATTAAAAACAGCTTTTAAATTATTTGTTACTCATATGAAGTCTCAATTTTAGTTTAAAGCTGTATTTTAAGCTGTTTCAAGAGTTCTAGAATCTACAAATGTAAGCAACTACAATGGTTGACATTGTCGATATCTATTCCCCCCACATTGGTGACCCGGACGTGAGTTACGGTTCAAATAAATTGAAAGTCAGTTCACGCTTGCTGGAGTGACAACAGAGTCAACGAAATTTCACCATGTAGTTTCTGCTTTGCAACCGGAAGAATTAGCGATTATCAGTCCACCTGTAGATGAGCCTTTCACACCATTGAAAAAAAAAAAGATTGTGCGCTCAATATGCTGAATCTGAAGAACAGCGTTTAAGGGATTTAATTTCGGGAATGCAACTCAGCGACTGCTGTCCTTCAAGACTGCTTCTGGAAATGTGGAATAAAGTCGGTGCAAGAATTAACGATGAACTTCTTAAATCGTTTTTTGCAGAGGTTGCCCACTAATGTTCAGCAGATTTTGGAGACTTCCAACGATAACCTAGACAAGGTGGCAGAGATGGCCGATGGCATTATGACTACAACAACTAGCGGACAGTCAGTCAGCACAGTTGTGGGTTCGTCGGATTTGCGGTCTATGTTGACAGATATTATAGCTTGTCTCTCACAGTTGGAAGCTCCCACAAGTCAGAAACGTTCTGTTAGCCGAAACAAACACTTCCAACGCACATTGGTGACTCTGACATGATGTGACACACCTACCTTGACAGTAGCGCCCACTTCGATGGATGGTACAAATTGAACAGTTGACTTGCGACATTATCCACCTCCTCGCGCTCTTGCTACTCAGTCTCGATCGAGCACAACTTCGGCCTTTATATACTCGACTGCTAATGGCAACACAGGAGCGACTACAACCGTGAACTTAATACAGCTCTCACGATTAGCGGGGCCTCCCTGGCCGAGCGGTATCGCCGGTCCAAACGCTCTGTTAAGCGTGGAGGTAGCGGGTTCGAATCCCGCCGTAACCCTTGATGTATTCTTCGTGATGTCCTTCTCTGAATTGTTCTATCTGTATTTTCTACTTGACAATGACTTATAAGCCTATATTGAGCACACAAGTCAGCAAATGTATGTAATTTCAATGAACCAACCTCTCACGATTAGCACTCAAAAAGTACGGTGATCTTAATACAGCTCTCCCGGCTTCTCACGAAAACAGCAATGAATTAACTAGTGGTATTCGTTCATCGAATTCTATCACAGATACAATTCTGGTGAGGGAGTACTGCAGTGTATCTACCACTACAGAAATACAATTCCAATTCACTTGTATATAAGACATGTTAACTCGATTCTATGTTGGGGTACCTTTTCAGAGATGAAGGTTGACATTGTCGATAACGACTCTTCCAACAAGAATTTCTTGTTTTTTCATTCACTTGGACATTGTTTTTGAAAATCCCGATATATTTAATATGTTATTATTACGACATGCAACATTTTCGAAATTTGAGAATTTCGCTCATCTTAAAACTAATTTATAGAATGCGCGAATTTAACTGTGGAATTATTTTTAATTTAAATTTCATCTTTAAAAAAGATTCGATTATTAGAACGAAAAAAAATTAAAATTTTGTATATCTTGGATGTCTTAAAAGTTATATACAAATATTTGTGAACAATGCCCTTTTTTGTGATAGGTGCCCTTTTCAACTTCTAGTCCCCTACCTTTTTTAAGGTTTAGAATTAACACTGTATGTATATATATATAATATAATTAAATGCTTAAATATTTTCAAGCACGCTTAAGATTTTCAGTTACTAAATTATAATTGAAGATAGTAAAGCATTCCCTAAAAGCCTATTGTAGGCCAAGATGGCCACAGCTTGGAAAAATTTCTTATGTGGTGACTAGTGTAGTTTTGCAGGCTTTAATTTCACGTCGATTTTAGGAATTCAGTTGAAATCCAAAATATTTTATTTACAAATATTTTTGGTCAATGGTAATTGGTCAAAAAACTTGTTTCCTGAATCTTTTTCTGACAGGGTTTACACTATTTTGGAAAGTGACTACCTCGTTAAAGCTTCACAATTTTGTGACTAATGGTATGATTATATTTTATTTTACAACCATCGTTGAACAGCTGCACCTTTTTGGGTTTTCAACAACTAATGTTCAACTCTATAGCCTTGTAATTTTGAACTCAATCCAGAAGACAAGGGAACTCCTGGATCAAGTATTGGCTTCGTAGTGGACTTCTTGATGGAACTATCCCACATTTGCGTTACATGGAGAGGAAAACCACCCACGGTTAGCCAGACGGCAAAGGGACTCTAATCCATTATCCGTCTACCACTGAGGATATTTTACGTCGGTACTGTAGTCTGTGCAAGCCGGAGCGGAATTTGAATTGACCAGCCAGCGCTGGGATTCAAACCCTGTTCACCTCATTTGAAGGCAAACATTCTATCCCCTGAGCCATTAGTGCTCCAACGGCATGATTGTGGCTATGTGGTCAGAATTGTACTTAGGCCAACCTCTACTTTCCAGGCAAGCTGGTTAGTTCAGTAATCATCGAGCCATTGCTGCTTAGAATTGAAGATAAATTTCCAGAAAGTAATTGTTAAGATTCTGTTAAACTTAAATCAATACACAAAATTTAAGACATAAACAAAGATTTTATTTCTAAAAAATGAGCATTCACTATTAAATTGCAAACAGTTATGATTTCAGGACACAGCAAGATTTAAAGAGGACAACAATTCTTCATAAAAGGATTTTCCCCTGTTTAAATTATATTTTATAGCATCCTGAAATCAAACAAAATTGATAATAAATCAAAAGTTTATAAAAACACATAATTTAGTAAGTAGCAACAAAAACCTAATGAAAAATATTCATGTGCAAATGATGCTAATCAGTTAAATTTTTGCTTAACTTTTATTTTCATTTTGATTGTACCAAAAAAAGTTTAGTTCTTTTCAAACAAATAATTTTGGAGCTATTGATAACCAACAAAAAAATTTTGCTTATTTTTATAACTGATTTCTTCAAATTAATCTGTTTCAATTTTTAGAAACAGCATTAACATTTTTCTGAAATGTGTGTCATTTCATTATTCAATGTCTTTTGCAAGCAAAGAAGGTTAACAAGAATTAGTTATTTCATTACTAATTACATGTTTTATTAAGTACAGGTGGCTGG